CAGCAGTATCCTTCTTCCTCCAAATCATCTTTTGTACACTCCTGTTGGAGACAGGAAACCAGCTACATGGACCATGGGGCTGCTATGTCTATATATGTCTATTTATTTCTACAGCTAAAATTTGAGGGTTCGAATCCTTCGTTTTTGGGGTTTATTACTTAGCCATAAATAGTCTGGTTTAGGAACATACAAAGGACATGCCATGCAAAAATTGACAACTCTTCTTGGGTGCAAGTACTGGCATTCAAAGGCTCAGACATCGTTTAGACACCTAGGTCACGTCCACATGAGCATGGACATTTGCTTCCCCGGGGACAAGAAGCAGCAGCACACTTTGTGTCGCTGCTACTTGTTCCTGGGGACAACTGTGCCACGTGCCCTCTGGCGCATGGCAGGTTACCCCGGATAGGGTAGGGGAGGCTGGGCCCAGCAGCCTTACCTGGGACCCTGGGAGCCTCCTGGGGCTGCAGCAGTGGTGCTCCTGCCGCTCAGAGCTTGGCCGGCAGCCGGAGCATAGTTCCAGCCAGCCAGGCTCCGGTTTTGGGCAGCGTGAGCTGGTGCCGCATGTGCCAGTCCTTTTTTGTGTGCAAGTTTTATTGATCCCAAGATCCCCCAAGGTCAAGCCCCCCCAACGCTGCAACCTTGCAGCACAGAGAACAGCTGAATGTGCAGCATGTAGTGCCACAGGCATGTCTGCATGCAGCCCTAGGGTGCATCCAGATGAGCACACAGGTGCGCTTTGTGCTGCCTCAGAGCTGTTTGTGGTGCTGCAAACGGCACGTGGCACGTGTGCACCTGTTCACTGTGCTGGTTTGCAGAACCATGGGGCTTTTTTGGCTTGGTGCTGCTGCTGCCCTGGGAGGCCTCCAGGACCCCAGGTAAGGCTGCTGAGGCCAGCGCAGGTGCTGGCCCCAGCCTCCCCTACCCCACCTGGGTCATTTTGCCGTGCACCAGAGCATGTGTGCAGGGGCATGCCCTAGAAGAAAAAGCAGCAGCACAAATATGAGCCAGTGCTATTTGTTCTGTGGGAAATGTGTGCCCCTGCATATGCGCACGCCTTGGGACACGTCCCTAAGTGGCAGTCTGCTCCTACAGTTAAAGGAGAGAGTAAAAGGCTCACAAAAATAGTGGCTTGGATGAGGCCCCTTTAGAAAAAGTGAACCTTAGACATTTCTCAGTTTAACAGCATATTTAATTGCTCCAAAAGTGTTTTTTATTTTCTTTGTTGGGGTTATTAAGCAGGTGTTAAAAAAAAACCAAACCTCACATTCAGCTGGCTTTGAGTAATTCTGATGCCATTTCTCTCACTCGCCCACCTCCCAGGGCTGGATTCAATCAGAGAGATGTCCAATTTCTGCACCAAGATACCCATGACAAATCAATTTGGGGGAAGAGGGAGGTGCCAGTTGCTCGGCTCAAGAAGCATATGGGGATTATATTGAATCTGGTCCTTATTTTGCAACTCTGCTACGTTATAGATGGAGTGGCATCCTGGTTTCTTTACCCTTTACTCTGGAGTTCGCTGCTTTTGAGGGTTTAAATCTAAGTCTTGGTGGTAGTTTTAGTTCCCCTTTAAACTGTATTTCTTTTTAGCATGGCTTGAGGTTTTATAAACACATATAGGAATCATGAAACATGATCTTTTAGGGTTGAAACAGTGTGTTAAATCCTCCTAATGCTTCAACAGTTTAAAACAAGAAAGGGCTAATAAATGTGCAAAGTTTTTTACTTGGATTTCTTCCATTTCCTGTAGAAGGTGCTCTCCACCCATAAAGAAAACTTGACAGCAGAGGACTGGGAATGTACTGTACAAACTAAGCCGGTATCTTATATTTCTACTTAATAATCCCATTTCTTTTCGTTATATTAAAGAACTCCTTAATGACATACAACATGTTACACCGACTAATCTGAGTGGCGAGAGGGACACCAAACAGATTCTGTCTCTTCGATGTTTCCGCCGTCTCTTCTCCATGAGAAACGACATGATCCACGTCCATCTGCTTCTATGGCATGTGCAAGCTCCTTTGGTTTCCGAACTTCTCGTTGTATTTCATGTCAGAACCAAATCCGAATGTTTCATCAGCTGGAAGTGCTTGGCACAAATGTCTTTCATTTGTTATTTCAGGCAGTAAAGGACAAATGTGTCTGCTACAAAACAACTTGGATTTAGCTTTGGTAACCCTTGGAGATGAAACACACATCTGGCTTCTACTGAAAATTACAGCACGATTACTACCCAATTTCATGCTATTTTAATATCGTCAGGGCTGAGACGCTGAGTCCTTGAGTCACGGGGGAAGGCAATTCCTCTTGCTGAGTGGTGCAAACCTGGTCTTGAATCATCCGCCTCTGGCATGATGATAAAACTGTGACTGGCTAAGCAAGAAGGCCTTAGACCCTGTGATTTAAAGGTCAGGCCTCTATTACTACATTCACCAGCTAACAATGTAACATTTAGCCTCAGCTGAGTGAAATGGAAATTACTCCATATACTCCATATTCAAAAACGTTTCCATGACAAGGACTTTATTGTGTTATATGCGGGACTGATTCGCTCAGAAAGGAAAGTGGGATGGGGGAGATAACGGAGCTATGTAGCTGGCATATCCAGCTACAATGAGTTTCCAAGTAGCATAATTGCTATGCATCTGCTTTACAAAGGAAGAGCAGGATCCTGAGGTGGGAAGCTATCAGAAGTGGTTGAGAGCCAGGATCTGTGATGCTCCTCACTGCTTCACAAAAGGGCGGCACCACCACCGAACGCTTCAACAGCCTTTGATTGTGTCCTGAGCAGCTGTGCACCTGTTGCAGACCCGATGGAAGAAGATTTCTCTGCTCCATCGTTGTGCAACAGAGCTGCTAACAGCCTCCTGCCGTCTGAGCTTGACGGCACGTGATACTTGCCCACCTCTGTCACACCAGTCCTGCCTTGACAAGGACAAGAATGAAATAAGGAGCAAGACCCACCTCTATTCTAGGAGACCTGGGAGAGGCTGCTCCAGTGAAAGGTCCTTGGAGCGGACAGAGTGAATATATTTTTAACACTTGAGGTTGGGCAGGAGAGGGAGGAAGAGAAGGTGAAGTGGTGGCTCAGGGCAGCGGGAGCCGTGGAGTCATTTGATGAGAGCTGACGGAGAAGCGGCAGTGTTGCAGAGTAACGGGAGGGCTGTGACCTTAGCACGTGCTCCAGGACAGAGCCGAGCATCTGAACTTCCAAGATTTCTGGCTGTCCCCAAGGTCTCTCAGCAAACAGCATAGCAGTGGAGGGACCCTAATATGGGAACAAAAGCCTCCAGCATACAGAAGTTGCTCACAGTGGGCCTGAGAGCCTGATTCTGGACCTGTTGGTCACAAGAGGACTTGCCCTGCTGATTTAACTTTGGCAGGACTGGGAAAATTGCTCAGGTCTACACCATCCATTTAACTTTGGCAGGATTGGGAAAATTGCTCAGGTCTACACCATCCATTTAACTTTGGGAGGATTGGGAAAATAGCTCAGGTCTACACCATCCATTTAACTTTGGGAGGATTGGGAAAATAGCTCAGGTCTACACCATCGATTTAATTTTGGCAGGATTGGGAAAACTGCTCAGGTCTACACCACCTCCTCCTCTGTTGCAGCAGCAGGAAGCCCTGGAGTGGCCTCCTCTGCCTGACAGTGTCAGCAGCCCACTGTTGCTCGATGCCCATGCCCTTTACTGGGGAGGCAGCCTCCAAAGGGGAAAAATATACACCTGCAGTGGGCCATTAGTAACACCACCTCTCCTTTCTTTAATTAACATTTCAGCTTGTCTTTTGCCATCAGACACAAGCAGAGCAAGGTGGGGGTTCGAATCCTGGGAGGAATTGCCACTTTTCACCTGCTTGTATTTCTGCTTGTATCACTTCCAAGCTATAACAAGTGAATCCATGTGAGAACAAGGCTACAAATGACCAGTGCCCTCTCTGCATCCTGACCAGGAACCAAGGCATACAAAAGAGCAGGGAGTCGAGCGGGTGTGCCCTTTGCTAAAAGGGAAAGACCAGGCCTGTTTGATCAGACACCTGCTTCCTATGGGGGTTTGCCGCGTCACAGGAAAGTCAACCTATAGCAGCAGTGTTCTCACCCTCCTGCTGCCCCCATACAATTTGCCATCTGTTAAAGGGCCACGGAGTAGTTCACCAGATTTGCAACTTGTCACTCGACAGGAAATGTACAAATGTCCGTCTCTAGCATCTGGAGCCCTATTGTCTTTCAGGAGCTGCCGCTTCGATCCACTGAGATCGATAGCATTAGTCTTCCTTTCAGCACATTGTGCATATTCCTCTTCCCTCCTGAACCTTGGAGCAAGTTTTTCAAGTGACAAACAGAAGAATATGCAGGTTACTAAAATGCACGCCTGAAAAAAAAAAGAATGGCTGTCTGCATACCCGATTAGTGTCCCGACAAAACCACATGACAAGACGAGGGGCACCTGAACTGAGAAAAACTACTTCATTGTTCCCAAGGTTTACCAGGGCCTTTCAGCTCCCACAGCTCTCAACAGTGATGTGTTGTTTCTTTAATTGGCTGCTGGGATAGTAAATGGTTCTCGAGCCTTTGAGAACTACCCTGTGACATTTGTACAAAAGATACATGAACCACAAGGGTTTTGCTACTACCATGCAGTAAAGAGCAATTTAAGACAGAAAGACACACATGGATACAATGGGCTCTTTAGAAGGTTTCCATCAATTAGCCCTCTTGCACGGCTATTTTGGATTTGTGAACACTAAGCTATGATGTGGCACTGGCACTTGGCAATGTCAAAATCCAGCTCCCACTGCCCGAGAGCTTAATAATATTTTATTAAAACATCTCGATTACAGCATATATTTGGCTCAGCTTTAGCATTTTATCAAAAAGTGGAAACCGCTCAACTAACCTATTTTCTAGTCCTACAAACAAACCTCAAGTGAACTTTATTCCTTGCCTCTAGGTTTACTTAACTGTTCAGATCAATCACAAAAAAAAAAGTCTGTAACCTTTTAAAAACTTGGTTTTAGGAGTTTCTGGAGGCACATAAATTACGTTAGCCCCCAGCCCCTTTGTTCCTATACAAGATAGCAGCGCTGAAAACAATCACGTCATTAGGCAGAGCCAGCCCCTCCTGTTCTGCCTGCATTAAACATTTACATGTGTCACTTTGAGTTAAAGGACTGTGCAATCAGGCCCTCTTTTAAAGTAAATTGCATGAGAACAAGCCAGGCAGCAGCAGACAAGCAATCGTGGCTTTTGTTAACCATTTTCTCACAAACCTTTTTTTACCACATTAACATCCCAACCCCAATCAAAACAACCACCCCGAGCTCCACGGTCCCAGACAGAGACCTTTAACTCCTTTAACTTAATATACATATTCCCAGCCTCCCAACCCGTTCAGTTGGATCTTAGATCCATACCGGACCAAAGACAGGGCCCTGAAGATCACCCGGCCAGCTGACTAGCAGGGCAGATCAGAGCAGCAATGGCATCAACAAAAGGAAACGGTTTCCTTCTCTATGAAAGTGCTTTGACTTGGAAGAAAAGCTCGTACTACTGTTTGCATGTTCGACTCCCTGAGAAATGTGTCCAGATTGACTCCCTGCACTGGTTGTGTGTCCAGATGAACAGGGATTCAGTCAGGGACCCTTTCCAAGCCATGAACTGGTTGAACTTCAGGACGATGAGGAAGAGTAGGAAGCAGCTGTTTCATTTAAGATGCTATTGCTTTTGCATAACTAGGGTTTGAGACTTTTGACCCTGCGGGCCCTTCAAGCCTTCCTATCTGCCCCCTTTTGGCAAGCAGAATGTGCAGAGCTGAGGACACAGGGATGTACCAGCAAGCCTCAGCATGCTAATGCAGTGCTCTGGTCTTTCAACTTGTCCAGCTGTGATGCAGGAGGAATTTGGTGGCTTTGCAGCAGGCCTCTTTGGTAGAAGTTTGAATAATACTGCTCTGCCATTCCTGTTCAGCTCCCTTGTACCTTGTACCTTATCACACTCTCCACCTGCTCTGGGCAGCATCCAGGATGTCATCTGAGATGGACTGACTGCAAAGGACTTGAATCCGTGCTTAACAACTTCTGCAATGCAGCCCATTTAAAGGAGCCATCCACCATGTCAATGTGAACTCTTGCTTAACAACTCCTAATGCAGGAAATGCAGTCACCAGCACAGGCTGTGCCCAGCAACATTATCACTGTTACTGCCCCCTCCTCCCTTACTGCACAGAGTCACCCCGTCGCATACACCATGGTACAAGATGACACTTACTATGCAGTAAGCCACCAGGGCTCCTTGTGCAAACCCTGCCAGCACATCCGTAGGGTGATGCTTGTGGTCGGACACACGGGACAGTCCTGTGTAAAAGGCCATCATGATGAGGGTGAACTGCAGAAGGGGACGTAGCAGGCGGGCTCCTCTCCACGTGAACCTGGCCTGCAGGTATAACTGACCAGAGAGAGGAAAAACAAAAGCGAGTGTTAATGGTACAACTTCCTTGCAGCATGCCAACTAATGCACAAAACTAGAGCTATTCAAACATGGCACTGGGATGTTATTCTGCCCTTAAGTGCTTGGGGATGGTGTCCACTGGCCTGAGCAGTATAGAGCCATAGCGCATGAGTGAACAGGCATTTTGCATTAACAAAAAACAAACATGAGGGAGAAGGGGGTTCAAAATGAGCCTCCTGGCAGCAGAACTGGAGGAAAGCTACTCCCTTTGTACCTGAGTGGTAGCATGAAAGGCAGGGGGTGGTGCCAGGGCAACCACTGGCCCTATCTCTCTCCTGGCCCTCCCAGCAAACTGGTGTTGCAGAGGACTGCTTTATAAACAGCTGCCGTATAATGTCGCTATAGACCTTCCTCCGACCCCAAACCTATTTCACGCTTACACATCTAAGTACTTCTCAGGAGTCCAAATGTAGCTGTGGAGATGGAAATAGGATCTAAAATCTGCATAAGAGCCAAAAATGCCATCTGCACAACTACATTTGCCTCTCTTGGCATGCTCAGAAGGCTCTTCTGCGACTGTGTATGCTCTCTGGCGATCCAATTCTGCTGGGACAGGTGCATTATTGTGTAGAAGTCCCTGAAACTGTGGTCAGAAAAAAAAAAGCTCGACTAGTGATTGTTAAACAGGTACTCCCACCTTTCAGCCCAATAGCCTGGTGATTAGGGCACCTACACAGGGAGCAGGAGATCCAAGTCCTAGTGCCCACTTCCTCCAGAGGAGGTCTGAACCTATATTTATCATTTCTTAACACAGTGGAATAGGATTTGGCCCTTCACGCACAGCCTGCAACTTGGGCAGGGCAGCATTTCCTTATGTGTGGGCCTGCGTGTAGCTTGCCGGGTTTACTATCAACATGAGGGACAACCTCTGAAGACACAGATCTAACTCCTTGGGCATCCTTGTGATATGACAACACATCCAGAGAACTGAACCCAAGAGAAAGCAGAAAACAAAGAATATTCCCAGTTGCATTTTCTTGGCAAATGTCAAGGTTGCTGATGGTAAAGTTTAAACACGCAGTTCCCTAATATTTCCAGGAACAGTTGTAAGAATTCCTATAAAGGCTGCCTCTCCTGTTTAACCATAGGGGAAATCACGATCCCTTAACTCTTACATAATCGGTACAGTTATGCTTATGGTCCCCTCCCCGTTCTTATGGAACGACGTGAACTCAGAGTCCGAGCCAACTCCCATTGAAATCAAGGCATGTCTCAGTATTGACTGCAGTGCGAGTTTGAATAGGCCCATAACTCTGACATGGAAGAAAACCACTGATCCAAGTACAGGACAAGAAAAGCCTAACAGCTATATACACATAGCTCTTTCTATATAGACAAGCAGGATGCTTGTTAATGGACCGACAAAGAAAAATGACCGGCAGCGAGGTGCATTGTCCTGGTAGTCACACGAACAGACCAACAGGCTAGCCCATGATTACTCAGGTGAGGAAAGTCAGGGTCTGCCCACCCTAGTCATCCAGTAATTGAAATTCTGAATCTCATCTGTGTCTCACACAAGGGCTGGAGCTGTGCGTTGGAGGGGGGGAAGGGATCACTTCTATTTAACAAGGGAAGACCGAAAGGCTTGACCTGACATGAAGCTGAAGTGACGTCAAATGGATATTGTCCCCCCTACAGCTATCTTGAGCCTGTTTCCGTTTCAAACTGTGGGCACAACCTACTTCCCAGGTTCCTGTGGGAACAAGGGAAACCAAAAGGGAAGAGACAACAGGAAAACTGGGACCTTCTGCCCACAAATCAAAGCTGCCTGAGGCTGACCGAGCCTTAGGCAGAGCCACGGCGGAGCACGAGTAGGAGTGCCCCTCCACAAAGTGCTACCTTCCTGTGCACGGGGGAGGAAGCGGGGACAGGGATGGGCAGGGGTGGGGGTGCAGATGAGGAAGGGCTGTAGGTCATGAAGTCATAGTCCCGTCTGGGTGTGTGTGTGTGTGCATGTGTGTGTGCATGCATACGCATGCACGGGGAGGGGAGAGGCCTGGCCGCTCTCTTAATACTTACAACATACCTTAATGAATCTAAATTAGTAACCCAGCGTAACAGCCTACATGGCTTTTACTCCCTTAACAATGCAATAGAAAATTCTGAGCACGTGGAAAATCTTTTCAATTGTTTGAGGTGACTGGGTAATGTTTCTTGCCAGCTTCTCAGCTGGTGCGCATTACTTCATTCTTTTGAGTTATATTGATTTATGATGTATTTTCTGTGCTTTCCTATGCTGCATAAAAGGAGCCAAATTCCCTTGCACACTCAGGCTGCTTTATATGGCTGCAGTGGTATAAGGTAGGATCATAGGAAAAGTAGGGCTGGAAAGGGCCTCATGAGGTCATCTCATCTAGCCCCCTGCTCAAAGCAAGATCGTCCGTAACTAAAGTACGCATAGGGTAAATGAGAATCAAGCCCGGGCGTATTTCCATTATATCACAAATAAGACAGTTACATCATCTATCTAGGAAGGAGAATTGGAAAGTTTATAAAGGAGATCACTGTATTGCTTAGCTTAATGTGCTCTCTGTTATGTTATAAAAACATGTTATTTATTCTTTTTGGAAAGAATATGGACAAGTAATCTAGCAGATGCTTCAAATTATCTAAATCACATTACAGGTTCTGTAAAATACACTTACACACATGCTGGTGAATGCTCTCCCTATACATTTGTATTGCGGTTTTGAATTATAATGTCTATGCTAAGAAAAAAAACTGACAGTGTTTTATAGATTTAATGTACCTTTCAAGCAGAAGTATTTAAAAGCAATTTTCAAACTACCTGAACTTCACCTACTGTGAAAATGCAGCTACGTCAGAATAGAAATACATAGCTGTTCAATAATACAGAACAATGCTACATAGCCATTTAAAATTGTTACTAATAAAGACTCTTATTTTAATCTTTTATGCATTTCACTGGCCATGTCTACACAAGACGCTACTTCGCAATAGCAGTGAGCTTGTTGCAACTGTGCAGTAGCATCAGGAAAAACTGTGCAGAGACATTACTGAGCAGTAATGCCGGTTACTGTGCAGTCATTTAGTACTTGGTTATGCAAGTACTAAGTTACTGCACAGTAATAATTGCACAGTCTGCCGCTCATGTAGATGCAGCCGCTGACAGTGAACTGGCCTCGAGGTTTTTTTTCACCAAACATCCACTAAGAAATTCTAGAAATCAGATACCCCCAGTATTTTACCTAAGTAATCCATCAATAAAAACTTATTGCATTAAGTGCCTACTGAACAAGATTCAAGGAGATCCGATCTGCCTGAATGCATATTCTCAATGTTGTCGTGCACATGCCATGTCCCTTTAAATATCTACATTTGGGGAGCTGGAGCAGTGCAATGAATAATGTTTTATTATTAGCTGAGAGATGTAAAATACACTGGCACTGTCACCCTGCTTGTTTGAAGGACATGCAGGGTCCTAAAGTAGTTTTGCACTCGATGCACATTCAGTCTTAGCTCCGCTAGGTGGATTGATAAGCTAGTTTCATGTTCGCAACCTCTTGCATGTTCATTTTAAACCCTTAAGAGAAAGGTTTCAAATGTCTGATATTCAACAATCATGCACGTATTCCCTTCTGGGTACAGTTTTGAATGACTTCTGTGTTCTCTTGCAGCCTCAAAGCAGCCCCAAGACCATGACTGAGTAGGTTAATCAAAGGCAAGAAAGCAAGTACATAAATAAAAGATAAAAACTGATAAAAAGCCAGTACGGCAGTCTGTGTGTATGCTAGGGCCCATGTTTTCAGAAGTGTATTTCCCAACTGCGCGCACACATGCAGCATTTCATACAGATCTACTTCGCAAAGAAGCTCCCAGATACAAGATTTGGGCAATGGCACTGCCTAGGTTAGTTAGTACATGTCCTGGTTTGCACAGACACACATGCATTTCAGGATAAGCAGGAAAAAATATTAGCCAAGAACAGACAAAAAGATGATCCAGGAGTTATTGTGTAGTTTGTAGTGTAGTGTAGTGAAGTCTCTGGCTTCTTTACTATTCATTCCCTCCAGGAGGAGCGCACACACCAACTGCAGATGCTTCCTCAGCCGGACGAGGGGTATTTGTAACCGAAAGCTTGCAAAGAAGAATTTTTCCAGCTATCTGAGTTGGTCTAATACAAGATATCAGATATACCCAAAGAGCCTTGTCTATCCAGGAGTTAGGGCACTTATGTAGGCCCGGGAAGGGTGGTTCAGTTCCCTTTTCACCTCAAGTTTCCTGGGTGGGTCACTTAGCTTCTCCATTCTTCATTCATAAAAACCAGCTACCAGCACTTCCCTGTTTTCCCTGGCGTACTCTGAGCCAGACCCTGAGGCAGTCAGATACTATAGTAGTGTGGACCCTAGAAGTACTGTGGATCAGCTATTCCATTCGTGTAGTTAGGGGGCATTTAGCTATCTTGGCTCCTGTTGCCTGGGCATTGATGCTAACACTAGGCAGTAAAAGCAGATCAGAAAGCAGAATGAAAACTGAAAGGATTAGGATCAGAATTTCCTGACGGAGCAAATGCAATGCTGGAACTGGGAAGCAGGAAACCCCCCACCGTTTCTCTGAAAATTAAGGCAGCAGTAGGTAGTGACGTCTGCTAAAAGCAGAGGCGTCACGAGGCTGTGGGAGTTCAGAGGAGGAGACTGGGTGGGGATAACAGTAATGTAAAAATGCATTACTCCCAGGGCAGACCAGTGTTAGCAGCAAAAGAAAATGATATCTCATGGCTAAAAGGAATGGGAAGGACAAGCGTGCGGTGGGCAAGGGGGCACCAGGGGAAAGGATAGTATGTCGGTATAGCTATTTTAAGATCCTCTCCACTTTCAGAAGTGCTGGCAGCAGAGCAGTTGCCACAAACTGGATGCTTTAAGGGCAATACATTGTTTTTCTCCGGCCAGGGAACTTCCACTGATGTCTGTGGGGGCAGACCGTGGTCAGCATGTGACCCTACTCGAACAGCATGGGAGGACAGTATGTTCACTTGTCAGTCTACAGGTCAGGAGAAGGCAATGAGTGGTTTCTTTTCTGTCGGGGGTGGGGAGGTTTCTATTCAGGGTGGTGGTCAGAAGGCACTCCCAATGCCAACCCATCTGTCCCACACGGCTGCATCCAGCCAAATCTGGGAAACTTGTTTTCTCTGAGAAATGAAAGGGCCGTATCTTATTTCCATGATGGGACTAGTTTTGACCTGACCTAAATCTACCTTCCATCAAACCCTTTTGAAAAATGGGACAAATTTAGGTGCACTTCTCTGAACAAAGCTAAGCCAAATTCCTGGTGTATGGCTAGCGGCCTGCCTGGGTGAAGTTAGCAAGACTCTAAGCTAAGACTAAGGACAGAAATTACAAATGTAAGTGATTGGAAACCGGTTCAAATCTATAACACACCAGAAGTTTAGTGCACGTACACTGCTTTCACAATGGCCAAAACCATTTAAGATAAACCTGGACGGATGTAGTATCAGAATTAACTGATTTAGGTTAAATCGGTTTACAAACTCCTGTCCGGTCTGTGCAGTTAGGCTGCGGGCAGGCATAGGAGAGGAATAAAGATCTCTGAGCAGCAAAGCAAGCAGAAAATGCTTGCCTTTTCTTTCCTTTTAATTTGAAGCCTCATCACTAATACCAGTTAGCTAGGGGCTAACATACCGGACATGATCCCACTGAATCCCAATGTTATTAGCTAACTTGAACTTGAACCCAGTGCTTTTCTGCTTAAATGACTGTGCATGCTTCCCTGGGGTTGCCAATACTAACACATGGCTCAACTCACGCCACTCCTGGAATAGAGACAATATTCCATGACCTAGCTCTCCCCCGGCAGCCACAAGTAAAGAACAATGCTAAAGAGATTGCAATCAGTCCAACTGTGGGACAAAACTAATCAGAGCTGATTAGAATAACAGCCAAACTCAGTAATGACTGCCTAGTTCACATGAGGGAATGCAGGTCAGGGAAACACAAAAGAACTTCGTTAGTAGTGAGGAAGGAAGATCCTGTCACCCCGCGTTGTTGAATTCAAGGTTAGTAATCACTGTTGTTTCTCCTTAATTATGCTCAGTGATAGAAAATGGTCTCTGCCTTCTTTACTCTCAAGGAACAAGGGAAAACTGAGTTTTGGAAAGGGCTTGAAGAATATAATTTTCCTTTCAGCCCCAAGACAGAGAATTAGGGCATCAACGCATCCTCTCCAAAGCCTTTACTTCCAGCTAATGCCTATAGTAGTGTTCAAGATGTTCCCCATCACCGAACACAGGACTTAATATTTTCCTTTCAGCCCAGAGACAGGGCCATTAGGACATCTGCGCAGTCACTCCAAAGATACTATTCCAGGTTAAAGCAGCACCCGCTGAAATGAAGTGTTTTGCCTATCACTAAGGGCACGAATACTTTGACTCACATAACTCTGCATTTCATGGCCATTCCTTGGATCCTCACCTAATCCCACTTTATCGCTCCTGCAGTCTGGGTCATCAGTGTTCTTGGTTGTATATTCCACTTGAGCTGAAAAAGCCCCCTGATGCCTTTATTCTTATAGTTCAACCCTAATATCAGCCCTATCTGTTCTTCAAGGTTTTGCCCTTACGCTTTAAGTCTTCAGCGGGGCAACAAATCTTGACCGTTTCCAAACCAAAAAGTTGTGGGGGGAAGGGGGGAGCAGGGGGAAAGCCACAGAGCCTCATGCACAAAACTTCTGCATACTTCCTCTTAGTACAAATGAGCATTATAATGCCACTTAGCCAAGGAGAAGCAGATTGCTGGAGAGCAATTTCCCTTTGTAAACTGTTATACAAAGCAGTGATGTTAACTGCTTATTTATGGTGGGAAGACAACTCCCAAAATGTTAGCTATGAAACTGTGTTTCAGAATTAATCCAAGACCTTTCACTGAAGTGTATCTTTCTGCTTAAAAGTACATGCTTCCCAGGATGTGGAATGTAACAAAAATACCCAACCCTCTAGTACTTGATATGTATTCACATTTTGTTAATGGGACAAATACTGATAACACTGGGCAACTCTGATACGTTATCATCCCAGTTGGATAAACATCTTCAGCATAAAACATTAGTTGACAACATGACCAGGGAAGCCAAGGACTGTAGCTTTCTTCTCACACCCAAATGAGCACCTAACACATCGAGTTGAAGCACACTGATGGAAACCTCACATTGCCAGCACTACAATGGATTTTTCTGGGGATTAATGACAACCAGGGCTGTCAATCAAGCATCTTTTGAGAGCACTGATTCATCCAAGATTTTCCATTTGAGGTGTAACAAAATGTGAATATCTTCCAGAACTGATAAGACTCTCTTTTGTATGATTTCTCTACAGGGCACGTGTTTTTTCATGAGTTTGAAGCCTCCATTTAAGACATACAAAAAACTAGAACTCTAGGTTTCATAATGATACCTTTTAGTAGACCAACTGGGAAATTGTAAGAAAACTGTCCTTTTCTGCAAGCTTTTGGGATCAAAGTCCCTTTGTCAGGCTCTGGGGAAAGTATAGATGGTACAAGACGGTAAAAAGTCCCCATAAGTAGGAAATAAACTTTTTTGCACAGAGGGAGCTGAAGATGGAAGGCTGTCCCTTTGGGTTCATGACAGTGTCTTTGTGAGCTGTGCTGAGTAGCAATTTGATGTGTAGATCAGGTAGGATTTCTTCCCCAGAGGTGTCAGATGGCAGGCAGGGAGGTAACAAATCTTTCTTGTTGCTCTGCAATGAAGTTTAAAATCCAGCACGGCTACCAAATACACGCCTGAAGCCTCCATTTAGGTTCTCTTGGCCAGTTACAAAGCCAACAAATGGCCCAGACTTACTAAAAGGGAAATGTACAGATTATGTATTTTTGAGGATGTTGTCAATATGTGAGTTTAAAAAAGAAAATAGAATTAAAGAGCAAGCCTGAGAATGATCTTAAACGAGAAACTTGCTGAATGTAAGATTTGAACACATACCGTGTTTACTAACCACCAGTAGACAAAATTTTGTGTTGTCCACTCTGCCCCTATAAGCTGGTCCAAGGGCAGGTTTTAAAAAAAGGGCCCTGTGACTACTGACCATCTCCAACCTGCAGGAGATCACAAAATCATAGAAAATGAGGGTGGAAGGGACCTCTGGATGTCATCTAGTCCAACCCCCTACTCAAAGCAGGACCTGCCCCAACTATATCATACCAGCCAAAGCTTTGTCTAGCCAGGTCTTAAAAACCTCCAAGGATGGAGAGTCCACCATCTCTCTGGATAACCTGCTCCAGTGCTTCACTACCCTCCTAGTGAGAAAAGTCTTCCCATTAGCTAACCTAAACTTCCCTTAAAATGCAGCAACTTCCTTGTTCCCCTGGCTCCTGTCAACCCCTGAAGGGTGGTAACGAAAAGGATGGAGCTGGACTGTTCTCAATGATGGCAGATGACAGAATAAGGAGCAATGGGCTCAAGTTGCAGCCAGGGAAGTTTAGGTTAGATATTAGGAAAAACTTTCTCACTAGGAGGGTAGTAAAACACTGGAACAGGTTACCCAGAGAAGTTGTGGAATCTCCATCCTTGGAGGTGTTTAAGACCTGGCTAGACAAAGCCTTGGCTGGGATGATGTAGTTGGGGCTGGTCCTGCTTTGAGCAGGGGGTTGGACTAGATGTGACCTCCTGAGGGCCCTTCCAACCCTCATTTTGTCTGATTCCAATTTTCTATGAAGTCCTTCATCTTATTAGCAGCACTCAGCAGCGTGCTGAGTTTAGCAAACCAAACATTTGCTAAACAGCTTTTTAAGAATCAAAGAGCAAATACGGTGTGTATGCGAAGATGATTCCTTGATGAGGCCCAATGAACTAATTAAACCCAGGACAAATTAAAAGAGGCAATCAGGATAAAGCTGGGAAAATACTTTGTAGCTCCAGTCACCCAATCAACTGGGTGAGAGAGAGTTTTTTTTTTCCTTGTAGATTAAAACAATATAATATGTTTTTCCACTGTTATCAGCTTTTTGATTACAGCAGATTTTTCATCTGCTGGGTTGATAGACCTGCATTAAGCCACAGATGGCAAAAACCGCAGAGGAGAAGATCCCTGCACTGAGGGGCAGGAAGATGGGAAGGGTGAGAGGAAGGCCTAGCTCGATAAGAGAAGCACTGGCTTCTTCATGTCAGATACATACCGCCTACTACTGCCTCATCTCAAGTTTCCTTTTTTTCTTCTTCAATTTACATCAGTTCCATTAGCATCATTTTGCCCCAGCTCCTAAGGGCATATCTATTGAACAGATGGTCAGACCGCAACTTTTCTCAGCCTTAAAAACCTCCGGGAATTCTGGGACAATCATCTTCCATTCAAAGGGATAAATGGAACCAGCCTGTTGTCGCACATTGGCTTGTTCTGCTCCAGCCAAGGAGAGGCTGTTGTTGCCTTTCAGAGCACGGTGTTGGAGGATATATTCTGTATTGGCCAAGAGCCAATAGCCAGCTGCCAAAATGTTTTGTTTTCAGTCTCTTGTGGGCTGGGGGAGAGAGACAGACGTTGCAGAGTGCTGATAGCTGAAGTGCTTCCATATGAGGACAGGCATGGCTGGTGAAGAGAGACCAGAACTTGTCTGTAGTGATGTGCCAAGGCCACAATCTCACCCGGTCTCTGATACATCCCTGCTGTCAGGTAACAGCCTACGGTCAGGAGAGTCCTCCATCCCACTACACTTGCCAGTAGAGCCACATGAGCACATTGCATCCTCCACAAGGGTCTAGAAGGAGGGTCAATCGAGCCAATGGCTAGGGCTCCAATAGGGGCAATCGAGCCAATCCACAACCCCACACGGGGCAAAC